ATTACACTGTCACATTCTAGAATATTTCCTTTTCCCCAACTCTAGCTCTTATTTTATAGAAATTAAAACACAAATTTCTCTATATCCCTCCACCTACTGCTCTATTTTATAGCCTGTTCCCTAAAAACCATCACTTATAAATTGTTTCTCCAGTTTCTTCATTAGGATGCTTTTCAGCCCACAGAAATTACTTTTAATTTTCATGCAGTTAAGCCTCTTATTTGAAATAAGATGAGCATTTCTGGAGGATTCCTAGGACAAAGCATTAAAAACTTACTTGGTTTGATATTAAACAAAAATTTACCCAAACAAAGAAGAAAACATCATTGAAAGGGAGCTGGTGAGGTGGCTCAATAAAAGATATCTCTACTGTACAAGCAAGTATGAGGTCTTGAGTTCAAATCCCAGAACCCAAATAAAATGCCAGACTTAGTAGAACATATCGATTACCCCATTACTAGTGCAGAGGGGTAGAGAAAGACAGCAGTTTAGTGGCTTATTGGTCAGTCTGTCTGAGTAAATCCCAGGTTAGTGAGAAAACTTATTCAGATAAGTAGTAGGGTATAAAGAAAGATAACTGAGGCCTCCATATGCACAATGGAAGCATGTACACATATGCAAGCATGGACACACACATACCTCATACAAGAACATACACACATGGCCCCCCAACCACCTCCTCAAAAATCCTTGAAGGTTAGTAATCTTTCCTCTATTATTCTTCAATCTACGTAATCATCTGTCCTGAACAAAACATATGTCAAAGAAAAATACTTGGCTCCTTAGATTCACCCAAGTTGAGTCACTTCCTATGCTGATAGAGAGCTGTGAGTTCTGATTTATCAACATCAGTGCCCTTCTGGACCACTTCCATTAGGCCAGCAGCTTCTACTGTTTGGAGAAAAGTCATTTCCCTGAAAAACTTCAAGTTGAACATCTTTCTCCCAGCATGAGCTGCAGTCACCAACAGGCTGTGTTTCTGTGTTCTAGCCTGTTTCTTGGTGTATATTCTTACTCTAGTCACCTGTGTTCACAAGGACAGAAGTCACTTCAAAAGATGCACAAGAAAGGCACTAAAATGTGCTCAGGGCAGGAGTCCTCTGTTCTGGCTGGCGTATGCCTGAAGGAGCTTCTGGATTTCCTCCATTATACCCTTTGTTTTTAAAGATAACAGCAAGAACCCTACTACAAAACTCTTCAGCCAAGGTTTGACTTAAATTTACATATAAATCTAAAGTTACTTTTTTACATGTTTTTTATTGAGTTCCATAGGGAGGCTTCCTGCTAACTGGTTCCTTTATAAAGTGCTAACACTGTAATGTAGTCATGACATCTCCCCAAAGGGCAGCATTTCAAATGGGAATCCCTGGCCAGATGCCCCTGGAATGAGGAAAAGAGTGACTAAGTGACTTCAGGACATCTGTTGAGTGGTGAGAAATGAAAAGGTGTTCATTCTCAGTGTGCTTAATAAATCCCAAATGGCAATTGAAAAGATTCTCTACAGTCAATAAAGGAGCCACAAAGCCTGAGGAAGCTCACTTCTGACAGCACTTACTCCTGTGGAGAAAACGTGTTCCCTGGGGTTGACAGGGAACTGTTGTCATTAGTGTGGGCACCATGGAGAGGAATACAGTGGGTAAAAGTGACATATCATAGGACTCAAGAAGTAGCTGCAGGCCCAAGAAAGACAGTGTGCATAAAAACTGCAGACCTAACTGGACTTGAGTGAAAGAGAATGAGTTATACAATTCAAGGCTGTCATATAAGTACTCATCCAAATTTGTGACTTTTTCAGCTTACTTAATAAAATCCAATTTGCAATCCCAAGACTCTTTGAAATGTAATTGTTTAGTATAAACTAATAAAAAACAGATGACAGGATAAAGGGGATGGATTTTAGCATCAGCTCACTCTCAAAAGCTGCATTATAAAATGTGTGATAATCAAAGAAAATGTTAAAGGTTCATTTTACCTGTTGATCAAATGGTTCAGAATGCCCTGGATTGTGAAAACAACATCCTGACTGCAGTGTAGGTCTGAGTAACCAAGGAAACCAATTATCAAGCACCAGGGTAAGAATATAATGTTTGGAAATAAACAGAAGTAGTTTGATATGCAGAGGAAAAGGTGGATAAATTGGAGAATCCAGGAGAATGGAGGTTCTTAGAAAGTAGACATTAGAAAAATGAGTTGGAGAGCCTAGTGACAAGAAGCAAGAAGAGTTAACAGAAATCTCAAGACTCAGAGAACTTGGAAGGAATTATAATTTTAGTATTACACTATTTTAAGCAATTGGCTGTGCAAAAGAAAACAGATAAAGGGTGATTGCATCCTTGGAGAGAACAGTCAATATGTGGGTATTTTTATTAATAATTTACATGAAGGGAAATAAAACTCAACATTTCATATTTCTAATTGGTGATAAATTGGTGAGGTCAAGAATCAACTTGGAAAGCAACCAGACAGACTGCATAAATGAACATTTAGACAAAGAAGGGAATCTAGCTGAATTAGAATTTTGGACCAAGAATAAGAGTAAAAGTTGTGCTTAGTCCAATGGTTCTTTGTTTAAAATTGGGGAAAATAAGCCAGAAGAAGTAAAACAGCAGTAGAAATGGCCCATAAGAAGCACTCCTTTATGTTCTCTGCATCAGCTGCCTGCCTCTGGGTTTCTGTCCCATCTGAGTTCCTGCCCTGACTTCCCTCAATGGTGGAATTGTAAGCTGAAATAAAGCCCACACACAAAAATGTAGGTAGGTAGGGAGGGAGGGGAGGAAGGGAGGGAGACAGGGAGGAAGCAAGGAAGGCTAAGAAGAAAGAAAGGGAGCAAGGAAGGAGGGAAAGAATGAAGGAAGGGAAAATGTTAGTTGAAAAATAAATAAGAAGTGGAAAAGAACACAAGACACCAGAATAATCCTAGGTTAAAAAGTTAACAGAAATAGAAATATTCACCTTGAAAAAGAAACAACTATAGAAAAATTACTTCCTCCTAAGCTATTCATAGTTCAACAAAGTAGTCTCTTGTCCCACAAAAAACTCTTTATGGGAAGAATATGGATAAATCACAGCAAGGTAATTTGATTTGCAATCTTGAAAATAAGAAAAAAATTAAATACTGGAACATCTACTAAAAGAGGTTAGAGGTTTGATAATTTTTTCATTCTTAGACAGATTTCAAGAAAATCTGGATGATCAATCATGGAGTTCACATGTTAGGAACTGCTTACAGAGAAGGTTAATATGTTGTGTTTGATCATAACAAAACATTTCATCAAGTTTGTATGTGGTTAAACATTTAGCTTTTGTGACCTGGGCCCACATATCCTTCATGCTTCACTCAATTACAAAGAGATAAGGAAAAAACAGTCTTCAAGGGCACTGTTGATTGAACATGTAGTATTACAGCACCATACTTCCAATCACATAACCAAATCTCTGTAAGCTGCCCACTGCTACAGGTGTTCCTCAACTTACAATGGAGTCCCTATAAAGACATCATTAAGATGAAGATCCTGTCTCATTAAAAATTTTGTGTGACTTACCTAAGATACAGAACCTCAAAGATTAGACACACTTAGAGCCTGAGCTTTCTCACCATTGCAAAGAGTGACAATTTTCAGTGTGACTTCCCAACACTTCACACTGGTAGGCCAGGAAAAGGTCATGTTTAAACCAGAATTCTTTCTACAAAAACATTGCAAAGGCACAAACTCCTAAGACTAACCATGGTGACTAGGAATTCTCTGTATATGTCTAGGACTCTCCCTTTAATACTCACCATTGGGTTTATTTTCAGCTTTTCCAAAGCCCCAAGTACTGGATCCTATACCGTCATACCTTTGATCTTTCTGTTACAATCCTTCCATTTGTTCTGCTAGGCTTCAAAATGCCTTCTGGCTCTTCACCAGGTTTGCAAACATTCCAATTTTATATACTGCTCAGTGCAGACTATCTTGTCTGGGCCTTACACAGACACTTCCAATGTTATTAATGTATCCTCATCATATCTACTTCCATCTAACTAGCAGCTAGTTTAGGAAACTTTCACAGGGAACTGTATTCATACCTACAAACTTTTCTCATACATTTCAGCAGGCATTCACCACCCTGCCTAAGATCCCTTTATTGGATGCCAAGTGCTTTATTGGCTTGGAGCAGTAGGCCAAGGTAAATAGCCCTTAGTGTAGCATTTAATGGAGGATGAATGGTTGGGTAAATCTCAAGATTTTGTTCACCTCAGGTGAAATCATTCTGAGCTGTGTTCCACAGAAAATCATTTTGGCAGCAGGATCAACACCCATAGTGCCTCATAATAAGCCTGCAATGATTTCCTGAACAACCCGGCCTCACTTTCCCAGGTCTCTCATTCCTACACTACAGAAAACAGAAAGGCATATCCCTCCTATTCTCATATAAGCATTTTTTAACAGAACTTACTGTTTCTTGTTTGTTTTGTTTTAGTAACATTTTTAAAAACACACTTTAACATTTGAGTTAAAAATTTTTTTTTGGTCTCTGTATCTGCAGTGTATCTGGAAACAATGACGCAGTCACACTCTTGGGAAAGTGATGACTTTTTTTTTTTTTCTCTCAAATACAGTATGCCCAGATTGTGAAGTTTAAAGGGCTTGTTGTTCCTGGCAGTTCTAGATATCAGATTTCTTGCAGAATGTTGTGTCTAGGATGGCAGGATTTGGTCACACAAACACCTTGTTTTAGCAGTGAGAACTGTCCTTGCTCCTTTCAGGGAAAGCAGGCATGTCATTTCTGAATTTTTGTTGTCGTAGTTTTGGTTTGGTTTGGTTATAAATATAACCAAAAAGAAGAAAGTCAAATGACACTAGATCTAGCTTTGGAGAAACCCTGAAATTTTGAAGTACTGAAGGATTTAGGAACTAATACAAGTCCAATGATAGCAAATATTTGTTGATATCCTTCCAAATAATCCATATGGTGAGGAATTCTGAAAAAAAACTCAAGCAGAGGTTAAGAGGGCTTACCCGAATCATCATGACTGAACATCTGATATCATGAATTGTGTCATAGATCTTCTTTGAGATGTCCACAAACTGATTATCATCAAACACAGTCAGCAAGTTCTTGCTTAAGGCATCCAAGGCAACATTAACTTGTGTCACGAACTCAGGGATCACTATGAAAATAAATAATAAAGAGATTATCTCCTTTATATTTCAACATTCCTATACTTTCTGGGAAATGCAGAACTGTATTTTAAATGCACATCTCTTTGCTACATTTTTAATATTTTAAATACAGAGAATCAAACATTATTTCAGTTATTTTCACATTTGGAAAGGAAAAAAAAATCAACAACAATGAAAAGTATAGTTTTGGAAATATAAAATATTCTCTTTTTTCTTTATGTTCTGCTTCTTTTGAACAAGCTTGAGAGCATTTCTCATTTTTAAAACTATTGAATATGAAACTCAATAAATTGAAAAATCAAGTTGATGTGAAAAATAGTTGGAATAATGACTGTAAATATATTTACAAAACTAAAATCCCTGGCTGGCAACTTAGCTCAGCAAACAAAGTTCCTGCTGCCAATCCTGACAAGCTAAATTTGATATCTGGGATTTATGTGGCAGAAGGAGAAAACCAACTACAGACTGTCTCCTGAGAGCCACCTGTGGTATGTACTTGCACTCACATATAGTCAATGCAATTAAAAACTAAAAAAGGTAACAAGGCCTCTGAAATGCCAAACAGAAGAATATCAGTTATAGATACTAATTTAATCTTATAAGCACAACAAAAGTTGTTATGAACATTCTTTGGATAAGATGCTCTCCATAATTAAAATAAAACACCCTAACAGTATCTTATCCACAGTAGCTCAGAAACAGCAGAACAATGACTACTTACAAGGAAGAATCTTTTTAGGTAATTCTATGGATGACTCTTGTTGTTTTTAAGTTAAGACATTAAAATAAGTACCCAACAAAAATGCTTCTCTACTTTAAATATAAATTAAATGGGACCAGAGAAATGTTTGTACTTTTAGTAGAAAGAATGTTCTTTGCAGACCTGATTCTCACACCCACATCAAGCAGTTCAAAACCAGGAGTAACTACCACCTGGAGGGAGTAACACCTCCTGCCTCTGCAATTGGTTTTTCTGGCATGTCTTTAGGTGATCCAAAGCATGGGGAACTTGGCAGAGAACAAGCCAGACTCACTGTTGAGGTAACCCATCAGCAGCCAAATCCATTAATGAAAATATTAATTGGTGAATCTGTTTGTGAGGACAGTATAGATCTCTTGAAGGTTCCACTGGGTTCCATTTTTTACTATCTCATAATCAAGATTAGATTTAAACAAAGTTTTGGAGGGCATAAGTCAAAATCAAACCATAGCAGCATTCTACTTTCTGCCCTGCCACCCACCAAAAGGAAACAGGTAAATGAATAATGAGCCAAGTGTTTTCTCTAACCTGCTACTCCTCTTCATAATCTCTATCCAAATATCAAGTGTAACGTACTTTATCACCTAACAATAAATGATATCCTAAATAATAATAATAATATCCTAAATTCATTGCCAAATTGTACCTCTACTGCCTCTAGCATCACCATCTCCTATTTCAATTCAATCTATGGTCTTACTCCTGTTTACATCATGCTAATTGGCTAATCTTATTAATGAAACCACTTCTTTAAGGAAAAAGAGGAGTTGCCACAAAATCAGCAAATTATTTGATGAATGAGTCATATCCTTACAGTGACTTTAAACATCCAATGATTTTTTTGAAACATTTTCTTGTTTGTATACTAGCTGCCTACCCTGGCATGTAGTAGATAAATATTTAATGAGTTGAGTGGCTGAAGAGATGAATAAAATCTATGAAAGCCAAGAAAAAGTATGGGCACAATTCTCACTATTTAGCCTTCATTTCAATGTGGTTTATGTTTTGTTCATTTCAGAGGTACATCAAAACATATTTATGCAGGCTTCTAGAAGCATTCAAATACATTGAATGAGTGAATATTTATTTACTAATCTATTTATTCATTTTTGCAGTATGGAGGGAGGTGGGAATTCTTAATAAAAGTAAGTTCAGCTAGTCCACATCTCTTTCAAGTTCTAGTTGTGAACACAAACCACCCACCCAAGTCGCTTCCATAAACAAAGAAAGTAAACAGCTTCTATCTCCATCAGCATCCTCTCTTTACCCTAAACACACAATGCAGCATGCTCTGTGCTCTCAAAAGCTGTTGCAGCCTGGTGAAAAAAAAGTTCCCATCCTCCTCCCTCAAAACTATTTACCAACATGCAGGTAGCACATTAAGTCTTGATTAACACTTTCAATCTGTTAGCATTACTCTAGCAGGAAAGCTGTCCCCATTATCTCTTTCCTGTTCTGGAAGTACAGATGGGAATTACGACTTTTTCTTTAGTGTGTAATGTGTTGTTTCTCTTTCATTACCTTAAACCTCATCTGTGTCTGTGCTTTACTTAGATCACAGTCATGTTGTTGCCTAGATCCAAAGAGGAATTATTGTCCTTACTACTTTCAAGATAATACAAAGTAACTATATTATAATTAAGTAACCGCCAAAAGAAGATTTAGGAATGTGGCAAATCTGTCTTGAATTAATAATCTACATGGGTTTTAGGAAAATGTAGGTCTGCAAGATGGATCAGTGGGGAAGGGTGATCACTGCCAAGGGGGGAGACCTGAGTTAGATCCCTGGGACATACCTAGTGGAAAACTGATATCCACTAGTTGTCTTCTGACCTTCACACACACCACACATCACACACCACACATCACACACCACACATCACACACCACACATCACACACACACACACACACACACACACACACACACACACCAAAAAGAATGTATCAGGTACATACTTCTCTATCATTCATCAAAAGGAGGTACATGTTAAAAAATTCATTCTGATCAACTGAAATGCTATGTAAGATAAACTTCTGAGCTTTGAGGTGTAGACTTATGAAGGAAAGGTAGACTTGGGACAACATCTTGCTTGCCTTAAACAAAGGATCTTGTCTGCTTTATTCATTAAATTCTAAACCTGTTCTGAATGCTTTTGGGAACCTGTGCTTTCTTCACAGTGTTCAGAACAGATAAAATGACTGATAACCTTCATTGGGTTTGCATTTCTATTTAAAGATTCATTTTAGTGTGTGTGTGTGTGTGTGTGTGTGTGTATACACGCGTGCGTGCATGTGCATGAGTGTCTGAGCACAGGTGTGCAGGTACCACAAGAGGACCAAAGAGAGTGTCAGAACCCCTGAGGCTAGAATTACAGGTGCTTAGGAGTCCTCAGATGTAGGTGCTGGAAAGGGAACAGGTCCTCTGAAAGAGCAGCAAGTGCTCTTTCCTGCTGAGTCATTTTTCTAACCCCCTATTCCTTTAAGCTCTTAAACATAATAAAGAAAAGGAAGTTTAATCCTTGGGAGTAGCGGAAAAGGGGGAGGGAGGAGGGAGGGAGGGAGGGAGGGAGGGAGGGAGGGAGGGAGGGAGGGAGGGAGGGACAGCAGGCACCTGTGTGGAGACCAGAGTCAGCCTTGGGTCCTGGTTCTCACATTGCACCCTATTTGAAGCAGAGTCTCTCTTGTCATTTTCTGCTTAGTGCACTGAGGCAGCTGGTGCTTGAACTTCTGGGGATTTCCCCATCTCTTTCTACCCTTTAGCCCCAAGAAGCACAGGACCTCTGGCTATTGTGCTGCGCCCTTCTTGGCTTCTAGCTGTCTTCCAGCCCTCACTGAGTTCTTACTTATCTACATGCGGAACATGTCACAAGCATGTTTGATGCAATCCTCACAGAAGTTCCGAAAGTTGGGAACTATTACTACTTTGATTTAACCAATGAGGAAACTGAGGTCTTCCCGCCAATCAGTGAAGGGCAGGTAAGTGAGACTCTGGACTCACTCTCTGAACCCTAAGTCTTCACTGCCTTCTTTTAATAAGTAAAGTCCTTGAGACTTCTAAACTGCAGTGCTCCTGGGAAAATTAATGTTAATTTCCTGACAATGAGATTAACAGGCCTATGGAGCCAACATCTACTAAGCCTGGAGCCTTTCTTCAGTAGTAACTCACGCATATTTTATCCCTCTTAATCCTTGCTAAATTTATTATGTGCATTTGAAAGTAGCTGAAGGTACATAATTACTAATTAAATAGGTCAGAAAAGGATCCAGACTCCTAATAAGTAATGCTTAGAAATGACATCACCAACTCACAATGTCAATCACTGGTAAATTGAGATTAAAATGTTTATAATTATACTGCTATCTTTGAAGATTACTAATGTAAAGAGAAGTCTGACTTCAGAAGGCCTCACAGAGTTAAGGTGCTTTCTTATGGTGCTCTGTCTTACAGCTGGGGGAGTGATTAATGGCAGAAAGTACAATTCGTCATAGAGTGGCTTTGATGATTACTTCAGTCTCTTGTTTCCTCTTTATTTAGCAGCAATATTAAAGTTCATATTTATTTAATATTTATGGATCCAATATGGATCCTGGAATAGAGAATTGTTGGGAACCTCCAAAAATCCAACTCCACGACTGCCCCTTTTCAGAGGTTGTATCTTGGAATTCTGACTGACTGTGAACATTTAGGACAGATCACACAGTTAATAAGAAGAGATTTTTTTTTATCCTCCTCACAAATTCTGCTTTTGCCATGTGCAAAAACTATGAAATCAAAGAAAGGACTTCTAGAAATAGATTTTAAGGGTTTTTTTGTTTTTTTTTTTTGTGTGTGTGTGTGTGTGTGTGTGTGTGTTTATGTAAGTACAGGCACATGGATGCCATTTAATCTCCTGTGACCAAGAGTCATAGGCAGCTATAAGTTGCTTGATGTGGATGCTAGGACCACATTCTGACCCTCTGCAAGAGAAATGTGCATTTTTAACCTTTAAGCCATCTCACAAGCCCAAGACATGGCTTACTGAAGTTGAAAATTATGCCCTCAGCCTCTCACAGCTATCTTATTTATAAATCTCTGATTACTTAATAAGTTGAATATTTATACTTCAATGTCTCTAGTGATAGAAACTGATTCATTCTCTAAGCTTATACTTTGAAATTTTTCATGGGAAAGCCATATGTTTATATTAATAAATATTTCTATTATTTTAGTGTATCTCAATGCCTC